TATGTATATATGTGCCTGTGATTTGTCTCAAAATGTTTGCTGTGGAAAATAAGTTATTATTCGAGCACCACTATTCTCCAATCCTCCTTTGCAGTTCTCTAGAAACAGAAATGCTTTTTTCTTTTGCCATCAATCTACGACGACTGTTTTTAGTTCTTTTTTAAAAATTGCTGCTGTTCTCCTTCCTGTATTTGAAAGCACCGCAATAGAAAAAGTCATCACTCCTGTCAAGTGGAAACAATTATGATCCGCTCTGCCCAGTTAGTGTGTGAACGAGGAAAAACCGAGGCCATTTTTAACCCCATGGCCTCTACCCGACTCATCCTTGGGAAGTTTGTTTTAATTGGTGTGCCCTGTAGGTCCATTAAGCAGCAAACTGGTGAGGTTCAGTCAGGTCATGAGTGGTGGGTCAGTGTGTTTCTTCGGGCTCTGTAACACAGTGAGCTAATCTAGTGGAATATGAGCTGAAGACGATTCACTTTAAGGGGAAATCTCAGACTTCTTTTGAAACCATGTGTGTCATATATTTAGAGAGGACGATTGTTATGGTAACCTCCCTATTTCGCCTTCTGCAGTCCACACTGGGTTACTGCGCCTTGTCCACGGCCACCGTCCACACGCTCCTCTACGGCTGGGACCACGCCTTCGACCCGGACCAGTACCGCTTCCTGATGCCTCCCACCTTCATGCTGGTCCTGGTTCTTCCCACCGTGGTCCTGCTGGGCCGCCTGGCCCTCCTCGCCCCCTGCGTGGCCCGGCGGCTCGGGCGGATCCGCCGTGGCTGGGAGAAGAGCCGCCACCTCCACTTCGCCCTGCCGGGCGACGGCTTCTGCAACAGGCTGGAGGAGGTGAGCAACGTGTGAGGATCCAGACTGAAACGCTCTGTACGTGTGCGCTCATGAATATAAACGGCAGGTCACACAGGAGATAAATGATTTATACACCGTTGGAATGTATTGAAGGCTCCTCTCTGATGCCTTTTGAAAGATTTCAGTGACGTGTGAGCGTCTTTTCTACAAATTAGCTGGTAGTTCCTTAGAGATGTTTGACCAGTAGAGCTGTGGTGGTCAACCTTATTGCACTATGCATCGTCACTAACAAGTATTTAGTTGGTCCTCATGTTTTTCACTTTAATTTATTGTTGCGTGAACTGATGAGAACAAGATCAGCTTCTGGTTTCCTTTATATATCTTGGAAAGAACCTGCTGAAGACTTATAGAATCTTGCATAAGTTCATATTTGAGTCTTTGAAATATGATTTATTTAAAACTCTAAACATCAGAAGCAGACTTTGCCTCGTGCATTCCCGTCAGTTCATTTTTCTGTTTGCACTTCAAGACTGCCGCAGACTTCTGTCCTCCGGTCTTCAACTTATGTTTCATTTTGTTTCGTCATCTTTTTTTCTTTTGCGACGCTTCAAACTGTTCGGGTCTGTGCGGGAATTATTGGGGATGGGGACGGAGGAAAAGCGTAAAGGATTTTAGATGATGTGCCCCAATTTAAACATTTGATCTCCTTCACTGTAATGCGAGTTAAATGCAAAAAAAATGGCAATCATCAAATGTATGGCAAATAATGTATACCTTTTACATTCTGGCCAGTAGCTGCTGAACGCTAAACTCCCGCTTTATACACCAAATATGTGTTTTGGTTACAGTTTGTTAACTTTTGAAGAACAAGATGAATCAGTGTTCCAGAGAATGTCTGACTACGATCCTTCCTCCTCCTCCTCATCAGTGCACAGTCCCTCACTCAGGGGTCCTTTCTAAACGGGAGACCCAGAGTCTCAAGCTGCTCCGTGCTGCTTTGCTTTGTTAGAGAAGTTGTTACAAAGTTTTCTTTTTTTGAACATGGTTACCATTTGGTGTTACTAAACTGACCTGCTGATCAGAACACATTTGGCCTATTATCAAACTGTTTCTTTTTGTTACTGTTTCAGCAGGAAAGGCTCATTGTTGTTTCCTTGTGAGTTTGTATTCTCAGTTTCGTGTTCTTGCCAAAAATCATTCTCTGTTCTGTGATAAGTAGATGCATCTAAATCAAAATGCTTCTAACCTCAAAGGCATGAATGTAAAGAACTCAAATCTCTAGAACAAAGAATAAAACATTTGTTCTACCGTTCTTTTCCCCCGGTATTTTATTCACCTCTTGAATATTGTGAAATAGATTTATTTATTTGTAGATGCTTCATGAGAGAAGTCACAGGCTGAAATAAAACATCTTAATTATTTAAAGATTACAGTGAATAAAAAAATAAGAAGGTAAATCTCATCACAGCTGACCCAAAGTGCAGAGCACAAACAGCAGATCATATGTGGATGCTGCCATCATGTGGCTGAGAATCAGATCACACGACTTTTATATTCTCAATAACAGCCTGATTATTATTTTATTCAAATAATTAAATTGCAGTGCTGCAGGTATAACCGTAAACCCTGACATCATGCACTGCTTCCTCATTATTAATTGGAGAATCGTAAAAGTGAGCGTCAGTCAGCCTCCTGCTGTCTGTAATGACGGCGTGGCCTTCAGAAACCACCTCCCACTCCACTCTGTGACAAAGGACACCACCGCAGGACGAGTCTGACGAGCACCGGCTGAAAAGTGTGGCAGCAGCAAGGTGTGCCAGTTTCTCTCAGCAGTCATGAATGTAAGTATGATATCTTCTAGTTGTGAGCCTCTTGTAGCATGTTACATTGAAGATCTATGGTACCATTACGTTGTCTTTTCTTTACTGATTCACAGGGAGGTTGTTACAGAGCAGGAATATCTCCGCTTAGCTACATGTGTAAAGTCTTGTGTAGATGTAATGAGGCGATAAGTCATTTTAACTAGAAACAAAAATCGTAAGGAAGTCTGGTTTTAGAACAAACATTTCTACCAATTTCTAGATTTCTGCGTGAGCTCGTGTTTCTCTCTCGTCCTGCCAGGAATCCTTTGAAAGAGCAGTAGAGGAGGTGAAGGTGCTGGACAAAAGACCCGGCTACGGAGTGCTGGGAGAAGTATATGGCTTATACAAGCAGGCCACGGTCGGCGATGTTAACATAGGTGAGTCTCTGCAGTCCTTTTTGTTGAGGTTTCTAACGTTGTGGAATCCACATGGCGACGCAAAGGAAGGACTCATTCGCTCCGAGTTCGCCAGTTTCTGTGCACAGGATGACTCCCAGCAGGGTGGGGCGAGAAAGAATCAGGTCGAACAAGTTCTGCGTCTTTCTGTCAACGATCCCAGAACTGATACTTTGACACAGACATTTATTTAAAAGAAAAATATATAAAAAAAATAGTATTGAAATGGAAAAAAACATTTTGGGACTGTGTGCACAAAAAACAGGAAGTATTACTTACATGAATATTCAAAAAGAGGATTTTAAAACCCCTGAAACTTAGTTTTCCACTATAAACATTAAATACGCATGGATAAATGAGCAACAAGCTCAACTAATTCTGTGCTACTTCTACTGCATTCAATTTCAGTGACGAATCTTTACCTTTTTACCCCCCTACGTCTATTTGACAGCTTTCGTTACTTAACAGATTGAAATTACAGCTCCAACTCCATCAGTAAAATGCTGCATTAATACACGTCAGTGATATCATATAGAGTAGTGAGGATTTTAGACCCCTATCTGGGAATGTTTTCATTATTTTTATTTAATCCATGAAGAACATTTTCACCTTTTTCTTTGTTTAACTTTTATCTCCCAATATTAACATTTAAATACTATTTTAAAGCCTATAATTGGTGGAATGCAGAATCCTTTATTTACTTATTATTCATTTGTTTGAAACTAGTAAAATTTAAAAAGTAGTAAGAAATAGAATCGGACTATAAAACCCTTCATGTGTACCTTTTGTTTGATTGTAGAATGTAATAATAGCCTGACATGGGTGCAACTTTTGCTGTACTTTTACTTTTGATGATTAAAATAGAATTTAGTTTCAGTTATTTCAGTGTTTGATGGTTTATTTGCTTTGACGTCCACAGAACGTCCAGGGTTTTTTGACCTCGCAGGACGAGGAAAATGGGACGCATGGAAAGAACGGAAGGGTCAGATTTATTGAACTTTAATATGGAAATGGTTAAAACCGATTAATTTTTTTGCAAAAACCGACTGATTTGCTTTTTAACCGACAGGTCTGTCCAAAGAAGAAGCAATGGCCGCCTATATTGACCTGGTGGAGGACCTGAAGAAGAGATTTGGGTTCTCTCAAATGATGTAGCCTTTTCAATGTCGCATCTTGTTCTCAGTGGAAACTTAACATTGGACTCTTTGATACTTTATTACTGTGTAAGACATGATTGGGTTTAAATGCGAGACAGCAGTCTGGAGTACTTTCTGCTACTCTAAATTGGTTAAAAACAAAAAAAGTGTGTAAAGGAGTAGCAACATTTTGTGAGATGACACTGATTTGCTTTCCTGCTGAGAGCAGGAGAAAAAAAACAGCTAGCCTTCATGCTAAGCTAAGCTAATCGCCCGCTGGCTGTAGCTTCATATTTAGCTTACAGACATTAAAGAGGGGTATCAATCTTCTCGTCTAACTCTCAGCAATAACGTGAAAAGATGTGTTTCCTAAAATGTCTAACTAATCCTTTTGAGTGGGACTACAATGTACGTTTACGGATAAAACCGGTTTAAATAAAGAGCATCTGTTCACAGGACTGGCTATCAATAATAACGCCTATTTCTTTGGACCTCAGACTACACATTACAAATATAGACAATAGAAACCCCTTGAGTTTGAAAGACATTCATGAAAAGATGCTGTTGAGTTGCATTATGGGAATTGTAGGATTAAGTGAGTTTTTGGAGCTTTAACCATACTGGGGACAAAAGGGCAGGATCTATTGGTCGATACTTACTTAATCAATTTGAACAATTATTTTTTTTATATAATCCGTATCATTCAAGTCCCCAGAACTTCATGGTGAAATACTAAATGAATGCAGTGCCCCTTTAATTTGTTTTTCCCAATTGTCTATCTGTTACTTTTGGACATTTACTAATCATTTCCACATTAATCTTGTGACAGTATTCATTATAATCGCTACAACCAAGTAGTCTAAGCTCTCCAGCTATTTCACATCCTGATGTCGTCAAATAAAAGAAACTCTAGAGATTAGAAAAATATGCATTTGACAGTATTAAACATTCAAGCTGCAGGTGTGCACTATTTGGCCCTCAGCAAGGATCCATTATGTATCGATGAGGAAATGAGCCACTTGAGTCACATCTCCACTGTATCCACAGGGAGTCCACTGGTTGTCGGGCTTCCCGGAGAGCAGGGCAGCAGGGACACCTGTGTGTGGGGGGACCCGCTGTTGCTGATGGAGCCGTGATGCTGCCGGCGCCGGCTGGGGAGGTGCTGAGACAGCCGCCACCTCCGCCACCTCCTCTGGAACTCCTGCTGCACCTGGAAAATGTGCGCATCGCGTTCAATCCCAAATTTGCTTCACACTTTAACTTTGGAGCTTTCTGTTTTTTGACGCCGACTGGTTCTTACCTCTCCGTTCATGAAGCAGTAGAGCACGGCGACCACAAAACCCTTTGGTGATGGGAAGAGAGAGAGGTCAGTGAGTGTAGGGTTGATCGGACGCTCTCTTTCTCATACATGCGACGGATTTACCTGTGTGGAGGACAGAGCGAGCTCGGCAAACGTCCATATCTTAAACACTGAGCTGCTGACTTCAACGGGCAAGAAAACAAACAGGATGTAATGCAGACCGAACAGAGCCACCAGAAAGAATGTGGATTTGATCAGCCTCCTGGTGAAAGAAAAGGGGAAAGTTTTAAACTAACAATAAAAAATAGACTTTCCCAGGCATTTACTTCTTGTATAGTTCCCTTGTATTTGCAGCTCTGTGTACTTTTACTGGGATTAGCAAATAGCAAAAGTCTTTATCTCATTCTTTTATATAAAATATATTCCCATCCCTCAAAGACACTTCTTTTTCATATGTAAACCACTGCCGACTTCAAATTTACAAAACAGATATGCAGTAGTAGTATTGATCTCTACTCACTTATACTGGCAGAATTCATTCCTCTGTGCATCTTGCATACGGAGTTTGTTCACCAGTATCCTCAAAATGCCCAAGAAAAAGACGAGATTCATCTGAAATGATTAAAGCACCGTTGTTATGCCATTTTGTCCTGCAAATAGTTAGACATTTTGGGAAATTTGCTTTCTTGCCAAGAGCTAGACGAGAAGATTGATACCACTCATGTATGCTGAATATGTAGCTAGCGCCAGCAACCAGTTAGCTTAGCATAAAGATTGGAAATGGGGAAAACGCTAAGCTAACCAGCTGCTGGCTGTTTTCTTCTAACTTAGCATGTGAGTGGTATCAATCATCGTCTAACTCTTGGCGAGAACGTGAACACGTGTGTCTCTGAATATGTCAAACAACTTTTAATGATTTAAAGTAAAACAAAATAAAGGTTTTACAGATATAGTCAGAAGGACTGGCACTCGAAGTATCCACCAAATCCATTCATGTCTCCTGGTTTCCCAGCAGCTATGGCAATAAAAATAAGAAATAATTTTATCATACACTTATAAACATAGATAATCTCGTAACTGCAAATGATCTAGTGAAACACTTGTTTAACCCTCATACCCTTCGTCTTCATAGAAATACTTGGCACATCCCCAGGAGACAATGACAATCAAAGGTAAGCCTGTGGGATGGAAATAGATCTCGAGTCAATCTAAAAAGACAAAGAGTCGGTATTTGTAAAGAGAGAGGGGGCGCACTTGATTTCTGTTAACGTGTTCTACCTACCCCAGCTTAGGACGATGTACCAGGCGAGGTGTTTCCTCAGGGAGAAGAAGGAGCGGCTCACCAGGGTGAAGAGGAAGTGACCCTCCGCCAGCAGCCAGCTGTAGTTTGCCAGGATGGAGTAGTTGGAAAACATGAGCGCGACCTTGCACGCCACCTGCCGCACGGGAGAGGTGTGTTAATCATGTGGCAGATTAAAAAGGGGACGACAAGAAAGAGAGTGTCCGTCCGTCCGTCCACACCGGGTAGTAGTCACAGTGGTAGAGCTCTTCATCGGTGAATAGCAGAGAGTCTCTGACGAAGATGAAGATGGCTCTCAGGATGAAGGAGACAAACAGCTGGATGTGGATGTGGTTCCTGGTGCAGTGCAGCTTTCTGAAGAGATATTAACAATCCCTGTTTAATCCCTCAGTTTTCAGGGAAGGACCAACCAATGCTTTTCACAAAGAAGTGATTCTCACCTAAACAGGCAGAATATGGTGATGGCGATGGAGAGGGAGATGAGGGAGAGTGTGTACCCGGCCGTGTACATGTTCTTCACATAGGAGAAGTACAAGTGGGCATCTGAGGACTGGACAAGGGGAAGGAGAGCATCACTTCATCACCCGCATCTAAGACTCGAAAGACCAGTCTCAGGGGCGTCTTGTGCCAAGTTTATTTCAAGAGTTTGGTAAGAAGTGTTTTGGGCTAGAATAAAAACACTTTTTTTGTATGTGCTTTACTTGTTTCTGCTCAAGACTGTTGGTAGTTTAAATGTAATGTTTTTTGTCGGGTAAAAAAAGAAACGAAAATAAAGCTAAATAATCTTTCTTGTGTGTAAAGTGTGACAGAAATAAACTTTGCTGATGTTTTGCTGCAAAAGTTATATAAAGTTATACCTACCCTGTAATACTTAAACACTATATTTTTAGCAGATTTGTAACAGTAGATACTTAAACCTTCTCATTTTGAGCAACACAAGTTAAATTAACTTTAAAAAAAGGGTTTGCTTTTATACATTTGTGGCAGAAAAGTAAGTGGCTCTTCTAGGATATTGGGGACGCTACTCTCTTCCCATTGGCTCACAGACATGAGCGTGAATAGAAATCAGAATTATAGTCATTTAAAAAGGATTTCATAGGTGCTTCATAGGTTTGTATTGGATAAACTACAGGTACTGTGTGCCTTTTAGATACCACCAACCTCTCCAAGAAAGTGGAGCGTCTCATTGAACGTGTAGCCGCATGCGTCTTCATATGGGACGAGCGGGTCTGTCCAGCCACTGGCAGTGCAGTTGCGGTGCACTTTACCTGCAAAATAGCAAGAAAATCTTGTGTCTGTTATTGTTGTCTGAGTATCCTAGGAAAGTATATCTTATGAGGATGTTTTTTTTTTCAGCTGGTCACTGGTGTGTTCACACACTTGGATTTATTGCACAGTAAAAAGCTGCAAAACCATTACTTTTTCCTCTCCAGGTGCTTCAATAAGCATCTGGTTCTTCAGATAGTTTATCATGAAATCCATCATCTTCATCTCCCCACATAAACACTCCTGTTTAATGGCTGAATGTTTGGATGGAGACCCACGAGAAGAGAATAATTAACCAGTTCAATGGGGAATAGATGATGGCTGTCTGTTTGTACATGTGTGGTATCTCACCATCCGAGGTGAAAAACTCCGGACACGGCTGAGAGACAGTTTCCCCAAGAGAAGCAGATGGCCAGCAGTTCAGGTCATCCCACATCCCCTTACAGTGTACGCTGATGTTGTTTTCTTCATGCGTGGAACATAAATCACAACTTTTTATTTATTTATTCATTTAATTAGTTTGGATTCTATACAAATGTGGTGATCGAATTTGATGTTTTAGTTGCAGGATAAAACACCCAAGAAAACACCACATCTGGATTAATCCTGATCCTTCAGTATAAAATGCCTACTGCCTGATGCAAGTTTTGGATTTCAGGGTGCATTGTGTTATGTGACCACGAGGTGTCACTAAAACATTGCATCAAATTGATGTAAGGTTCAAAAAAATCTTAATTGAAAGATTGTATTAATATCAGAGATTTCCTTTTTTAATGGAAAGCGCCAATCTTGATTTATTCAATATTAAAGTATAATTTAACACAATAGGTGTAAAATACACAATTTAGAAACTATTAACTCACCTGTTGCTTTGTGTGACTTATAAAGCAGCAGATCTGCCAAGCACTCTTCCTCCTCTCTCACAAGATTAACATGAGGAAGACACCCTGATGACGATTTCGCCTGTAAATCAGCAGACAATGATGCACTTGCATCTTAAGATGTGTATATAAAATAAACATGCATCTATATTCTCACCTGGGGCAACAGTAGCAATCCAATAAGTCCAACTTTTTTCATTGTGTCTGATGGGTTCCTCTTTCCATCAATACAGGCAGCTACAGCCAAACCTCAAGCCGCATATCTGATTAGAATGAAAAGCAGGCATCGTGCCATGCAGCAGATATATGAGGTCTGAAAATCAAACAGACCTCCTCAGAGTGTCGGTAATTATGCACGGTATTGCTCGGGACCGTCTGGTAAGCGCCTATCAAGGCAGTTATATTAAAATTGCAACTTCCGGTTGTAACTTTCAAAATAACGTCTATTTTCATGTATTGATTGAAAACGGAAATTATATGTAGCAACAGAGGTTTAGTAAATAAATATGTGAATAAATACATTATATCTTTACTGCATATAACTAAGCAAGTAACAACATTGAATACATACACAGTTTGTAGTCTATGCTTTTATTTTGAAGATGGAATGGCTAGCTTCCGGTATTGTTCTGTGTAATTGACGTAGTTTAATGGCAGTAGCAGCCAACAAATCGTTGTCGCCCGGATGTTTGTCCCGCCCACTCAGCACGAGCGCCTCTATGGCAACGGTAGTGTTAGAGAGTGGGGTACTTCCGCTAATCACGAGAGCAGCAGGTGTGTGGCATTAAACTAAAGATGCTTCTGGTACGAAAATAGACGGAGTGTGGCTGCTTTATCTGAACTACTAAATACAACCTATTGTCTAAAGCTTAAGTAAGTTCTAAAGTTCCATTGTTCAAACGTTTTGTCATGAAAGCTGATAAAACTCTTACTAAGAAGCGTTAAGTTAACGCTAGCGTAACTTAGTTAAATTAAGCTAACAGGTAGCATTTAGTTGTTCCCCAGCCTCGTGCTAAAATGTTTTATAATATTTTCCTCATCAGTCTAAACTCAATATCCCTTAATGCCTAGCGTTAGCTCAGGTGCTTCCCGTTTCTCTTAATCACCGTTGAGACGTCTACATCTGGTTTGGAGTCCAATTGAGTCAATTGGACTGAACACTTTTGTCAATGTGATATAGACATTTTTTTCTTTGTTATAAATTTGCTAAATTATTTCTCTTTTTCCTTTTTCATTATGGGGTCTAGAGTGTTGAATGGAAAAATGAATTTAAATGATATTAGTTTTCAGCTGCAACATAATATAATGGAGGGGAAAAATTAAAAGGTGTAACTACTTTATCAATGCACCGTATTGTGGAGGGAATGTGATGCCACTAGTGCATACTTTATATCAACAGTATGACAGTAAACATATATAAATATATATA